ATAAATTCTCAGTAACCAAATATGGATTTTATTTAGTATCAGTGTCCTTCATTCTTCCTGTTATCTGCTATCCTTGCCAAAGAATTCAGTGTTTTCTCTTTAGGAGCAACAATAATGTTTAGTAATTATTGAGGGTACTCTGTTTCAGACCTGCATATTAGTTATAACTCAAAAAGCTCAGAGGTCTTTATTGTCAAGACAACATTCAGGCCTTGTTAATGTGCTTCTACTGTGCAGTGTTGTTTGTGGCAGTTACAAGAGTCAGGTCCAATTTAGAATTAAATTCTGAACCCAGGTATATAAAATACTTTAAACATACAGGTATTTTGGTTATCGGTGCTAACATCATATCATTATAATAACAGCCATATAAACTTGACCTTGTTCATTCCAGGCACAATACAACCTTCAAAACATTACATGCAAAATCATAGCAGAAACTGATATCAAATTAGCAATATTTTTTATATTTGTAAAATTTTTGTTTTGAGGAGATAATTTAGTTTTATCTGGTCCATTTTAGGGACAGTTTTACATTTACATTTGTGGAGCACACCCTTTATTTTCAGTATAACTCAATAAATCCAAGAATGAAGGATCTTTAAAAGAAGATAGCTTATTAAGACCCTTTTTCCAAACTTCCTCAGTTATACAAAGCATAGTTGTCTTTTAGTGTTCACTATCCAGGCAAAAATAGTTCAGCACAAGCTTCTTTACTGCCCCCAAATTAATAGGCTCCATTGTCATTTGCATCATCTGTCTCTTGGGTCCCTTCCCCTTTTTCTCATTTTTCTTTAGTATGTGAAGATCCCTCCACCACTTTTAGATTTCTGAATGCCCTGAAAGTCTCATTCTTTCTCTCTGATCATATGGAAGAAAAGCTGATTCAGTCATGTAAACCTATAAATTACCTGTACTTGCTAGCCTGAAAAACCTGCAGAGACCTGGGTGTTTTAGAATCAGATTTAAACTGTAAGTATATCATTTATTAACTTTGAGACCAAGAACAACCTATAGTTATCTCTCTAACCCTTATTATCTCTAGAATATAGATTATAATACCTAACTTTGAGGTATTGAAAAGATTAAATAAGTACAGCACCTTCTTTTCTTATTATAGGTGGGGCTACTGAGTTACTCTTTTCTGAAACTTGTGTTTCAAGTACTTTTTAATCTTGAAACTTTTATGGTATCTTTTTTTTTTCTATGCTAGAATGGAACCCATGATTTTGATATGCTAGTCAAATGCCCTACTATAACCCCAACCCCTGATATATTTTTTAATTATACCATGCAAGACATTTTCCTCCCTTAAATGAATATCATCTAATCAAAATCACACAGACATTTAGGAAGACATCAAACCATCCTCTGATCTTGGTTACCTTTATAGAGTAATCTGGGATTGACAGTATTGGAAAGAGGGGTATATGTAACAGCCCATGGTCTGTATCCCCTTTTCCCTTTTCCTTTTTCCCTTGTGAAACTACTGAAGCATTAGAGAGGATCTCACAAACATTTGGAAACAAGGAAGCCTAGGAACCTTCTCCCTGAACCTTGAGCCTAACTTGTTCTTGGCTAAGATGCCAACTGGCTGGGCCTCTCCATTTAGATTGTCCCTTTGTGAGAACAGACTCTACTCAATATTCCCTGGTTTCTCGATTTTCTTGATTTCCTTCAGTTTAAATACTCAATATACCCTGAGGGTTCTTTTATAAAACTTAAAGCTTTTGGAAGTATATTTCAACCACCATTACAGAATTTTACTTAAATTCATAGTTTTTAAAAGCTTATTATATTCTACCAACAGTTTTTGACTTGCTGCTACACAATACAAAAAAGTATAAAATACACAAGATAGTTTATTCTTTTAAGCTGACACTAAAAAATGATGATGTATGACTAAACATTAGAAGCAAATAGAGGGCCAGGGCTGGGGCTCAGCAGCAGTACACTTGTCTGGCATGTGTGAGTCACTGGGTTTGATTCTCAGCACCACATATAAATAAATAAAATAAAGGTCTATCAACAACTAAAAAAATATTTTAAAAAAAGAAGAAGCAAATAGAAGGCTAAATGTCACAAGAAAGGCATTGGTTAAGTTGGGGCTGGGCAAGGGATTTGAAGGGGGATTAAAGGAAGGAGAGATGCCACAAATCTGTGAGGAATCCAGAAAACTGGTATACTTTTATGTCTTTAAGGGTAAGTATGCTTGGTAGAAATAATAAGTGAGTTGGTAGGAAAAAGTGAGTTGGAAGGGAACCTTGAATGCCCTGCTGGTCTACAAGCTACTACACCATGTTTTCCCCACCCCTCAAATTCCATTTCCACCATTCTCTTCCTTTCTTCCCATTCTCTAGCCATATTGGGTAAGGGTTTTAGAGCTTCTACTTAGAATCTGTTTCCTCTGCCTGGAGCTCTCTTCTCTTAGAGAAATGGTTCACCCCTTTGAGGTCATATTTATTGGGAAGACCTACCCTGACTTCTCTGTATCATGCCCCCTTTCCCTACTTCTGCTGCCCCCCACACCTTTTTGCTTTATTTAACTTCATAATAATACTTAGGAAGTACATATACAAGGTATTGAAATGTGCTTACTTGTTAATTATTGCCTTCTCTCTCACTATTATAGTGTGAATGGGAAACAGAAATGCTATCCCCAAATATGGCACTTTAGCCCCCTGACTATTTTAAGCTGAAGGAAATTGAAAAAAAAAAAAAACAGTAGAAAGCAGCAAAGATTTTTGTGGCCTTTTCTTTCTTTGACCTTCTCCTATCTTTCTTCCCCAGTCATAAAAAGAATTCTTTGATCTACCTCCCTTGAAACTAGGGTACAAGACCCTCCTGTGACATTTGTCCTACCCTCTTTAAGGAATGAAGACCTAGAGACACAAAGAAAAATCAGAACAAATGGTCCTTGCAAAGTTCCCTTCAGTATATTACCATAGGCCATATCTGCTTTTTATCCAATCATATTTCATACCACTGTTCATTTTCATCAACTGTAAGCATAAAATTTAGTTTTTCTAGGTCTTCATATGTGAAGTTTCCTGTGTCACCTAAAACTGGTTAAATAATTTAGTTTTGCCCCCTCTTGATATTTTGTCTTATATTATCGAGATATCAGTAATGAACCTCCCAAAGGTTAGGAAGAGATACTACTTTTTCTCCCATTCAAGTGTGTGTGCTTGCTGAGGGAAACACTTACTCACTGCTATATCCCTAGGACCAGTCCCAGGTACAAATATTTATTTGAACAAATATTTATTGGACAAAAGAGAAAATGAGTGCAGGAAATGGATATGGATATGGATACCACAGGAGTTGCATTCTAGGCAAGGGAATACACATTTAATTTATTAGGGGGTTTTCATTGAAAGGTAGGACAGGGCAGTGAAAACAAAAGCATTTATTTTAAGAATATTAAGTTGCTGGGCTGGGGTTGTGGTTCAGTGGTAGAGTGCTTGCCTTACATGTGCAAGGTCCTGGGTTTGATCCTCAGCACCATATAAAAATAAATAAAGTGAAGGTATTGTGTCCAACTACAACTAAAAAATAAATATTAAAAAAATTAAGTTGCTGATGATGTGCAAAATAGATTTTTTTAAAAAGTCATTTCAGCTCCCATTCCCCTCCCCAATTCAACACTCTGTAAGATAGTTAACTTTCCATTTTGAATTTTTTGACTCATAATAAATTGCTATAATTGTACAATGAATTCTCTTTGTCTGCTTCCCCCCCAAATGATTGTATCCTGCAATATACATTGTGACATATAGGCAAATGACATTCATGCATTACTATTAACTGAGGGACAGACTTCAGCCAAATTTAATCATATTTTAAATGTACTTTTTTGATGGTGAGCAGTTCTATAATATTTTATCCCACATGTTATTTAATTTTCTATATCTGATTTTGAATTTTTTTAACAAAGTATTAAAAATATCCTCTTTAATACTATTCTCCTGGCTCTTGACCAGGAGAATAGTATTAAATTTATTTAATACTATTAAATAAATTTATTTAATACTATTAAATATTATTATAATTTATTTTATATTAATAAAATAAATGACCGATTTTTTATTTGTTTGTTCTACATTGATGTTTCTTATAGGCAGGTAACCTTTCCTTTCTGTACTAAAGATGACTTTAAATTTTTACTTCACCAGTATTATTTACTATTTATTGATCATTTTTCTATTGGACCTTTATTTTATTCATTTATTTATATGGGGTGCAGACAACTGAACCCAGTGCCTCATTCTTGCTAGGCAAGTGCTCTACCACTGAGCCACAACCCCAGACCCAGCAATTTTTTGGGGGTAGCAAAATAATTCTATGAGACTGTTAATAGAATTCTAAATTTTTCCCCTTTGCCTACCCAGCCCTACTAATTAGAAATATATTTCTGGTAAATAACTTATTGATCATTCCAGATATAGGAAGGATGGAGGTGGAACATAACTAATTCTTTAAAGTCCTTTATTTATTCTTTTCCTCTTCGTTCTCCTCCTCCTTCTTCTTTCTTCAGTACTGGGTATTGAATTCCCGGGTAGTGTACTACTGAGCTACACCACCAGCTCTTTTTATTTTTTAATTGAGACAGCACCTTGCTAAACTGCCCAGCTGGCCTTGATCTTCCTGTCTCCCTTTCCCAAGTAGCTGGGATTGTAGGTGTGCATCACCATACCTGACTTAACTTCTAACTTTTAAAGATATTCTGCAAGCCATGATTTTTCTAATAGCCTAATTTGTTTTTATATGTTGTGGGACATTTTTAACTTTAAATACTTATAGATTTCCCAAAATTAAAGTTAAAATCTTAATAGCTTAATTCTTATTTGTGTACTCTATTTTGGGTGTACATGTGTTGCATATGTCAAGCTGATGGTTACAGTGGAAATTGATGGTCTTTATTGGGTTTCTGGGTTAATATTGGTGGCCTTTAAGTGACATCAACTGACCGTCTGATGTTCTTGCTGCATTTCTTACAGGTTCTGAGTTCTGTTCGTACAGAATGGGATCCACTGGATGTTCACTTTGGCACCAAACAGCCTTATCAGGTGTTTACAGTGGAGCAAGCCGTCAGTGTAGACAAAGAGCCCATGGCTGACAGCTGCATCTATGAATGTGTTCGGAACAAAATCCATTGTATGTCAGTCACCAGAATACCATTAAGATCGAAGGCCATCAGCTGCTGCAGGAGTGTTACTGAAGACAAACTGATTCTGGGCTGTGAAGATTCTTCAGTAGTTCTTTATGAAACTCACCGCAGAGTGACTCTCTTGGCCCAGGCTGAACTTTTGCCTTCATTAATAAGCTGCCACCCAAGTGGTGCCATTCTGCTAGTTGGCAGCAACCAAGGGGAGCTGCAAATTTTTGATATGGCTCTATCCCCTATTAACATCCAGCTCTTGGCTGAAGACCGCTTACCCAGGGAGACTCTACAATTCAATAAGTTCTTTGATGTTTCCAGCAGTCTTGTTCAAATGCAGTGGATAGCTCCTCTGGTTGTTTCTCAGAAGCCTGAAAATAGACACATCTATGATCTTCTCTTCCTCAGGTTTGACAGAGGACCTTTGGGTGTGCTTTTGTTTAAACTTGGTAAGTCAAGGAAGTTGGTAAGTACAGTGTTATGATAGTGATATTACTAAGGCAACTAAAACTACTTTTGGAATGTAGATTTTTGTTATTTGTAATCCCATAAATATGTTTGCCTTTCAAACAGTTTCTTAAAAAGGCTTTGTGGATCATTTTCTAAATGTCAAATGAATATTAGATATTGAATTTGGAAATTTTATTATCCTTTATGATGATTAAAAAGCCTGAACTTTCACATCTGATACTCTCTGAAATGTCCTATTAAAACACTCCTTAAGAAATAAATATGTGAATATTTTAAAAGTACTTTCTATATTCATTGAAAAATTCTGTGTTGTAGGAATGTAAAACTTTTTCTGTAAATGTTATTTTAGGTTATCCATATCTTTTGCTTCCCAGCCTGAAATTTTGTGAAACAAATAAAGAAGACAGATATGTAGTTAGAATTTGCTAAAAATATTTGTGTAACTTTTTGTTTCCCTTTTGGATTAAAAACATTCAAAAGGATTTATCATTATTTATAAAACTATATATTAATATAGCATATTTGACCAGGAAACTTTAAAATGAAATCCTCTCATGATGATTCATTTGCTTGTTACAGTTTCATATTACTGGTTATGTCCTAGAATAGCAAAACAACTTTAGGTAGTTTGTATAATTTAATGTTCTTGAGAGAAACTCACGTAGGTTTAAAAAATTTTTCTTTCATATACACTATAGCTACTTAAAAAGTTAGAAAAGTAAATACATTTTTTAAACCTCTTATAAGACTTGACTTCGTGATAAAAATTTGTGATTTACTTTTTTTTATAGGTGTACTTGTCTCTGAAATTGAACACATGAAATTGATCTAGTGAAAATATCTTGATAATATGAAAGATATGATGCATAAATGTGAGGCCTATTATTTTCCTTCTACAAACTAAAAATGCAGATAAATGCATTCACAATGTTAATATTGTCTAAGAAAAAAAATGTTTGGAATCTCATTTGTTATGAGATAATCCAGTTATACTTTGCCTGACTTCATGTTTAACAGTTGTATGTCTCCATACACAACACTAATTAAAGTGGATGTTTGATGTTTGCATGTCTTGTTAAAACACACACTCTCTTTCTCTTTGTCTCTTCCTCCTTCTCTCTGTCTTTTGCCTGCTTTTTCTCTCCTCTCTCTTTCTCTCATTCCCTCTCACCCTTTAAATTACTCAGTTACCTGTCAAACATAAGGCTGTCTGCCCACATCTACCTGGCTTTTCTTCAGCCCTCCCTTGTGGGCCTACTCACAACAGCTTTGCAAAAAGCACAGCTTTCTCTTCCTATCTCTAGCACATTTGCCTTCTTACTAAAGTAAACAGGCTCTCAGTGTAGGGATTTAGAGGGCTTCCTGCTAATTGCCAGCTTGTAAACTTAATTGGACTGTCTCCCTGGGCACTGTTCCTAAATCAATTAGGCAATGAGTTGGCTGTCACCTCTTTTTCCCCCCAAGAAGGTCTCTTGGAAGAGAATTATCCAATAGAAGTCAAACATTCAAATAAAAAGGTGATAACTTCTGCAACTGACATTTATCATTTAAATTTTATTTTCAATATGACTCTTAAGTTTGTAGGATAGGGACAGTGTACAGGATCATTAAGAGAGCTAAATATGGAATTTCTAAGGATTTTTAAAAACTTTATTTCTTATTTTTAATGTATTATAAGATTAATATTTCTATCAAATTATTTTTCCTGGGAAGAGTAGATTCCTTGAAATAGTCAATTTCAACTAACAATTTTTTTTAAAAGAAAACCCAGTTTAAAGAACAGATTTTTCTCATGATCTGCTACTAAATACATCCAAAAAATTAATATACTTCTTGAATTAACACAGTGCTGATTCTGGGCATCCATGTGGAATTTTCATGTATAATTCAAGTTACTGCATATGTAAACAGGTAGTTGCATGTGCAGTTCCCCACTAGGGAGCATTTATGAGATTTATCTCAGATGCTTGTTATGCAAGTCTTTGGAAAATTTGACATGAAAGGTGTAGCTTACAATTTAAAATTGTAAAGATAGATCATAGATCATAGTTTAAAATAGAGTGCTGTCATATGTAAACGTGGCAGTCACTGATGCCAATATGCTAAGATTTTTGGAGTTTGACTCTTAGATTAGGTCAGTTAGAGTAATATTGAAGGGAAATTCTGTTCCAAGGGTAGAGTTTCCATTCTTAATTCTTACAGTGATTGTACAAAAAATTGGGGGTATTAAAAGGCCATCCCCACTGATATTAGAAGAATTCCAAATACATGTCTTCCTCAGGAAGCAGCTGGAAGTGTCATGCTCCTACCGGGAAGCCAAGAAATATTTCTTTATATAAAGCAATAAGTACAGTATTCAGAATTTTTTTATGTGACAGTCAATATCTCATATTTCCACATACATAAACTAAGATTAATTTTAAAAGGAGGAGGACCCAATTATACTACCAGGTTCTTAAAGCTTTTCGTTTCCATTAGAACCTTTTCTGATATTCATTGCTCTCTTTAAACCCGCAAGATCAGCTCTGTCTCCCCTCAACAGAGAATCTCACCTTTTAATTGGCACTTCATTAAGTTTATCTGTTCCTCACCACCCGCCCAACACTTAACTACAGGCACCTGAATCTTTCCCTGGAGATCCAAAGAAAAAGGAGTCCTTCCTCTACTCCATGACCAGTTCCACCACTACTTCTGCTATGGATTCCACAACATTACCCTTGACACCTTTACCTTGTCACCCTTCCCACCCCCCATGAATTGTGTTTCATTAGCAGATAAACAAGCCCAAACCACATCATGAAAACAAGTTCTTCCTTAAAAATGTTTCCTATTATTGATCAAATGTTCACTTTCCTTTCATAGCCAGAGTCATTGAAACACTGACTTTCCGGGGGCGGGGGTGGTGGTGGTGGTGGCTGGGGTTGTGGCTCAGCAATAGAGCGCTCACTCTCACGGGCAACACCCAAGGTTCCATCCTCAGCTCCATAAATGAATGAATGAATGAATGAATGAATGAATGAATGAATGGTGTGTCAACTACAACTAAAAAATATTTTAAAAAGAAAGAAACACTGACTTTCTCAGCTTCCTCTCCTCTCATTCTCTTGTCAGAGCACTGCATCGCAGTTTGTGTCTGTAGTGTTCTCTTGGAACCACTTTTGGAAAGGTTGCCTGTGGCTTCCTCCAGGATACATTTCTCATGTTACTTGATGGCTTTTCAGTGTTTGATGGTTGCTGACCATTCCCATTGTCATAGAACTCTTATCATATTTGCCTCTTATGACCCTGAATGCAACTTTTCATCACTTTTACACTCTTCTTCTGCCTACTCATGAAAATTTTGGGGCTCTCCAGGGTTCCATTTATAGTTCTTGTCTCATTTTATACAGATTGAGAGTTTATTTTTAAATTAGCTATGTGTTATGGTTTGAATTTCCTCTCCAAACTCATAGTGAGATTTAATTGCCATTGCAACTGTATAAAGATGTAAGATCTTTAAGAGGTGATTAGGTCAGGAAGGTTCTGCCCTTGTAAATGGATTAATGCCATTATTGAGGGAGTAGGCTCATTTATTTCAGAGTGTATTTGTTATCAGTTCAATTCCCACCCTTTCTCTCTGTCTTGTGCATGCTCAGTTGTCCTTCCACAATGTTATATCACATCAAGAAAGCCTTATCATATGCAGTCCTTTGACTTTGATCTTGAACTTCCCAGCCTTAAGTACTGTGAGCTAAATAAGCTTCTTTTGTTTATAATTTATCTAGTCAATAATATTCAATTATAGTTGCAGAAATGGTCCAAGATGCTTCTAATTCTCTAACTCCAGCCCAGATGACTATGACTCCATATCTGTACATTTACCTATTTTAATAGATACTATTTCAACCTCATTGTGTGCAGATGTGAAGTTATCATCTTTCTCCCCAAACCTGCTTATCTTCTTGTATTTTGGAAGTTAGAATGATTCAGATGGAACCTCCAAGTCAGAAATCATCATAAAATCTTCCCTCACCCCTAATGTAATGGACCTCCCTCAATGTTAATGTTAGTAACAAAATCCTATCAATTCTGCCTTCTAAATACTGTCAAAGGCATCTCATTCTGTTCAGCCTCACTGTCATTACCTTAATCTAGACCTCCCTTGTATAATTGTGATCAAGTAGAGGCCCTCTGTCTGCATCTTTTGCCTACCCTTCCTACTTTCCAGTTAATTCCCTGCACTGCACTGAAATTATTATTCTAACAGTACAACTTTTGACATGGCTGATCCAGCCGAAATACTCCAGTGATGGATCAACCCTCATCTGCCTCTTGGGTTTCATCCCCCGAGCTCTGCTACACTATAGCTTTCCAGCCAAGCCTACTCACCCCTTCCATTGTGGTGGCAATAGTATTCCATCTGTGTGGAGTGACCCTACAGTGTCCTCATGCAGCCTGCAAAGTTGAGGAAAGGTTACTTGTTCAAGTGATAATATTCAATGAAGTATAATTGAAGTTAACATCTTTCTTCTTATACAATTTTGAAAATCACAGGTAGTATGTGAGTATATGTGTGTTTATGTCTGTCATACTCCCTAAATGGAAAGGAGTATGATTTTTCTCTTAGAAACTTTATAAGTGTATTTTCTTCAAAAGTTATTTTTAATTAGATATTTCAAAGTTATACTTTACCCAAGAGACAATTGACATTAGTTTATTGCTAGAAAGAAATGTTGGGTACTTTATTAAATACCAGTCTTAAAATTGAATCATATTTTTTTAAATAAACTTTTATTACCAATAGAATTCTACTTTGATGATGAATGTTTAAAAATCAAGTTTATTGAGGTATAATCTAATAAATAAAAATTTATTTGTATAGTTTAATAAGTTTAAATGTATGCAATGCCATGATTACCACCATAATCAAGGTACTGAACATTTCCGTCATCCCAAAAAATTCTCCGAAGGCCCTTTGTCATTAATCTCCATCTTTCTC